TGATTCTGTTATTTTCTTTTTTATCTCCGATTCTGTGAGGAATCATAATGTGACCCTCAGCCAAAAGTGGTTTGCATTTCAATCCTACACAACATATTGTTTTTCCGGAATTTTTTTATTTTTTTTTATTTTTTTTTTGGCGCTGGGGCTGCCCGGAACCCTGCCCGGGGTCATGCCCGGCCGGGCACCCGGGAGTGTACCCGGGCAGAAGTTGGGTGCCCGGGCGCCCGGGAAAACAGCCTAGAGTAAATCCCGGTTTTTTGTTGCTGCTTTTTGCGTTTTGTGTTTTGTGTTTTTTTTTGCTTTTTGCATTCTGTTTTTTTTTTTTTTTTGTTTTGTTTTGTTCTTTATTCCGTGTTCTTGTCCAAGCACGTTTGGGAAGGTAGCAACTGGTAGTTCGAACCTTGGCAAGGCTCGGCATACCGGTCGGCCGAGGCTCGAACTTGATAGCTGGGCCAGGTACTGGTGGTTTAAAGAACTCGAACTGAAATGAGTCCTGCTTATCGACGCAATACCGTTGGGGTGGTATCTTGCACTCAAAAAAGGTACTGGTGGTTTAAAGAACTTGAACTGAAACGAGTCCTGCTTATCGACGCAATACCGTTGGGGTGGTGTCTTGCACTCAAAAAAGGCCCCCGGGTGCGAGATTCACACAACTATGACGCCATGAAGAAGGAGACACGGTAGAAGCAATCTGCCAACTCGTGGGAATCCTACGAATCCCACTCGGCGGCGGCCATCCGCGGACAAGTCCGCGGCCGCGGCCTAGGCCGCGACCCCGCGGCCGTGTCCGCGCGGCCGCACGACTTTGCGGTCGCATGGCGGCCAGTGGGGAGGGGGGTTTGGGATTTGGGAAGCGCCATGGGGCGGTGCAACCCCAGCCCCACCCCCTCAAACAAAAAAAAAAAGAAAAAAAAAACTAATTTTTGGGTGGGGGGGTTGGGGTGAGTGAAGGTATTTCAAAAAAAAAAAGAAAAAAAAAAAAGAGAAAACTACGGCGCAGTCAGGGTTACAGTTTGTAATTGCATTTGAAACTGCGTTTTAGCAGTTTAGTCAGGGCCCGAGTTTCAATTGCAGTTGAAACTGCGTTTTGGCAGTTTGAAACTCGGGCGGGGTTTTTCTAGCAGTTCAGTC